TCAGCAAACTCGAAATAGGAAATGAATAAATCCCATAAGCGGGAAGCTACCATGGAAGGGTATAGGAAAACTAGCATCGGAAAATGTCAAGGGCTCCACGCACGGGCCGTGAATGGAACCCATATGAGGATCATTAAGATATTCTTTCATATTTCTCACAGATGATCAGGTCAGGTATTTATTCGGGAAAACTTGAAAGTAATTCTAGGGTTTCCGAAGAAACTAACGGAGCAGGAATAGCCGATATATTTTTCTCGCTTAGCAATGAACTGAACCTGCGTAAAAACGGCTTCTTCCCTTTCGGTATTCGTCTATGGAGGAGAAGAAACTTTAACCAAGTGCTTTCCAAAATAAAGTTATGAAGAAAGCTAACGCCAATTAAAAAGCTCAGGACGATTGGCTCCATTAGTAAGATGGTATACCAGCTCATGGATTGAATTCTGTAGAGGTTTGATGCAAAGCCGAACGTTCGAATTTCGGCAGGTCCGAAGATTGGCCAGCCAGAAGCCCCGATTTGAATGTAGCGGACTATCCAACGTGGTCGACAAAAAAGTTAAGGAAGTGCACAGAACCACAGTTTTAATGCGTCGGTAAAGCTACCCTTCAAAAGCATGCGATGAAGCTCAGATGAATGTCATGGCAAGGGACAAGGATAGATCTCCTAAGGTCCGTCTGAAGAAAATTGTGAAGTTCGAGGGACGCCGTTGCGAACAAAAAATGTTAAAAATTACTTGATGAGGTAAGATCACACGTTGCTATTGCCGATACCTTGTTTCGATTTTTCCTATTCAAACTAGGCCACAATTATTTTGCCCAACGCACACAATACCTTAATAGCTGGTGTTGTATTTATATTCCTTTTCAATCGTCTCTACAATAGCGAATGAGAGACGAGCGCATGTCACTCACTAGTAGCTCTCGATAATCCGCTATTTTCACTTCAGAAATCCAATGGACCCAATCCAGGTGGCGAACAGAGAGAAAAAAGGTACGCTCAAAAAAGACCTAATTAGCCAACAAAACGATAGGTTCGAAACATAAAGAGTACCAAGACAATCAATATTGAGGTAAGGTAATCACTTTGGAAGGTGAGCGAAATATGCCGAATGCCTTACCAAATCAAACATTGAAAGAAAACATTGGTGAAAAAAAAAACATTGGTAAAACTGGAAACATCAAACTGCTTACATTCCAAGTATCGTTCTTGATGTGTCCCTGAAACTCCATCTCCTTGGGGTATTCGATCGCTTGAAACA